TTTTTCTAGCTGCGATCTCAAGTATACTCGCCGAGATCCGCATTCACTTGTACATATTTCAGATATTTCAAGATGACGAATGTGAGCCATCGCCAGATCTACTCAAACAAATTCACGCATATCATACGATGTTTCGGACGACCGCTTTCTGGCATTCGCTATCGTCAAGGACCTCAATAATATTTGACCGGGGAAACGAATTTTCAAGGAGACTGGCGTCGGGCAATTTTAGAGCAAAGTATTGGGGCTCCCGGGAAATATCCGGGCGAAAAAAGTTACAAAGTACATTACAGCACAATCATCATCACTATCAACTATTTCCGTCGAAAACTTGAAAGCAATAATGGTACTTTGGGATAGCCACGGAAAGTATTCAGGAATCTTCTGTAACTTTTCACGGAACGCTAAATCATCCTCACCCACATACCGACATGTAGAAATTTTGATATCAATGTGAAGCGAAACCCGACGAAGCATAGGAAATCCGTCGGCAAGTACGGTGTCAAGCCGCCCCCATTTTGTACGGTCTGTGGTGCATTGTTTGTCAGTCCAGGTGAAGACGTTCAGGGTGATTTCTTCGATTACGTTGAGTCCCGCAAATTGAGCGAGCTCCTCGCAAAGACCGCACAGGGGGTCTTTGAAACTTGGTTTGATTCCCAACACGACATGAAGTCTTCTTAACGTTGACAAGGAGGATTTGTTCATCCAAGCAACCAGATCTTCGCATCCGTCTTCCAGATATGTCACTAGAAGCATTAACGTCAATCCCCAGTGTAAAACGAATTTCGGCGTGCATACCTCGATAGTGTAGAATTTCAAGCTCTTCCGAGGCTTGTAGCAATGTTTTCCTCCCTTCAAAGTAGTCCTTGAAGCGCGCATGAATATTCAACTCCTTGAGGTTACTGAAGTCGAGCATTGGAACGCCGGTGGAACGTTTGGCATGAAAAACTTTCGTGACAAAAGGGTCATCGGCACAATCGAAAGTGAACGACTTTATATGAGGGACGGGATCAAAGGTAGTATACTCCTCGTCATTATCACATTTTGTGGCGGCAGTAAGACCAAGTGAGTTTATTGCGAGGTCGTTGAGAGTGATGCAGGGAATGAGTGCGGTGACTGGAAAGTTCCAGAATAAGGAAATTCGCACACGCGTCAATGAGTGTGAATGAATGAGACGCAGTAATACTTCTTGCATCGGTGAACGCAATGTGTTCCAGTGGGCACCAGAACCATCAAGCTTCAAGGTCTGAACTGGATGGAGTTTTTCCAGTACGCGAACGTTGTCATCCCCCTCGTCATTATGGTCAATCTCATAGACAAGATTTCGAACATAGTGTGCAATATCTGCGTTTTTGTCGAGAAGAAGCCTCAGTGATTTAAGCATGCGTGAGCGATGGCCACGAGCATGATGGCGAGTGAGGCTGATGGTCCGATAGATGTGTTGGCGACACAATGGCAAAAGCGATTGGCATGTCTGCGAGCACGCTTTCAAGGATGGTAGATCGTCCTGAAGAACATCGATGATCTCTTTGACGGTTTCCGGAGGAAAGTCAGCGAAGGACGTCATGGTGAAGGCAGGAAGCACTTGAGATGAGATTACATCAGCAAGGCTATTGATTAATGATTGATCGCAAATTGATCGTCATCTCTACTACTTACAAGTCCGTTCACCAAAGAAGACATACGGAATCACGGACGGTGTCGTTGTCGACCCACAAAGAACTCAACGCTAACGACTTCTTCAGCAACACCGACTTGCTCTTGAAAATATTTGATTATCTTTTGTGGGATGACGATGACGAGCTAATAAACTCGGACAACGCAATAGCGTGCAAGCATGCCCTAGCGCAGGCAGCAGTGACATGCAAAACTTTAGATCGCCTCTGGTGTAGCCTCGATACTCTCTTCCCACTGCTCAAACTCCTCCCATCATTCATACAATGTAAAGGAACATACGTGAGTGAGTCCGCGCATCTCAATTTGAGCTCTCGCAAACTCGCATCAGGTCCTTCGAGGACCAACCGACTGGTCCCGCTTCGACTTCTACGCCAACCGCGTCAAAAACTTCAGCTACATCCGTGACCCAGACCACCTCGACATCGCACTGCACGTCTACTTCCGCATCGCCCAACTCCTCCCCTCACCCATCCTCCTCCCCTCCCTCCAATACATCCGCTGTCCATCCATCAGCTCAAATGATTTTCTCATCTCTGGCATATGTCTCTCTCTCTCCCCGTCTTTGGTAGCAGTCGAGATTAGGGAGATTACAAGTGTGGAAGATAAATTGTGTGGGACTTTTTTGTATACGCTTTTGAATGATGGTGCGGAGTTGGTGAAGATTATACTGAGGGGAGAGGGCCTGGGGAAGGAATCGATGGCGCTAATACCTCGTTTTGAGAAGCTGAGGGTGTTGGAACTTGGAGGAATGGGCGACTCTCTGAGTTTGCCGTGGTTGGAACGCGTTGGGGCACTGTCGGCGCTTACAGACCTCGACTTGGATTTCATAGACTCACCAATACTCCCCTTGGCGAAAACCGTAGGCTTCAAACACCTAAGGAGTCTATCCATCTCCGCATCGCTCCCATTCATCCTGTCGTTCGTTGTCAACATATCAACGGACCAACTAGACACCTTTGTCTGCCTCTCACCCCCTGAACCAGGGTTCGACATGAAACTTTTGTTTGAGGACGTCGTTTCGCGCTGGCCTAGCTCCTTACGATGTTTCGGGCTCAGATTAACACCGGAGGACACGGAGGCGGAAGAGAAGTTACCTCTCGACACATTAAAGCCTTTATTCCCTTTACACAATCTCCGCATGCTCAGTCTACGTGGATACCTTATGGATATCAGCGATGACCTGATGGAAGAGTGGGCGAAGACCTGGCAAACTTGAACGACCTCCTCCTCCCGTTCCTCCCTCCCACTCATGTGCGGCCGAGGATGAAGTCTCTTCGAGTCCTCGCGGAACGTTGTCCCAAGCTTACGGAACTGCGGATACCCCTGGATTCGAGCGACATACAGGCTGTACAACCCTTTTTGTCATCGAGGAAACCATTATATCCAGAACTTAAACATGAACTAAAGACGCTCACGATCGCATCGGTAGTAGACGATTGGGATACGCGGGACGCCTTTCTTATTGGACGGTATTTGTATGGTTTGTTCCCCGGCTTGAAGTGCGTGCGTTCATATGAAGGACATGAGGACGAGCGGTGGGTGCAGGTGAATGAGTTGGTGAGGTTTGCGCAGACGATTAGGGCGGAGACGATTGCTAGTTGTCGGGGGTAATTGCGCATGGACATTGTATTGAAGTCTTCATGTCTTCCTATGAGGCATACTCACGATTGCAAGGCTTACTAGCAATTCCAGGGAAAGGTTAACGTTCGAATTCTCCTGGCAACCAAACGAGAGCTGTGGTTCCAGGGCGTTGATGCCAGAATGGGTGTTATGGGTCTCAGGAAGCTGTCTCGGTAGGGGAAATTTCAAGAATTGTGTCACGGAGAGCATTGGAGATGGGAGGAACTCGGCGCGCATACGTGGTGGGATTTTTTCCGGGAACATGATGAACAAGAGAGAGAATAAACTTTTTTTCATTCAACATCGGTTTACACAGTGGGCAACGCATCAGTAATTAGAGTTGCTTTTAGAGTTGATTTTAAGCTTGAAACCAATGATGGGTCCCTGTTCAGGTCAACTGCAGAAGCGCCGAAGCCATCACACTCTTCGTCACGCATCACATCGGCTGTTGAAGCGGCGAAGAGATGGTGAAAATGTGTCACGCCCCATAGGGCCCGAGGACTTGGTCGTATTAGTACAGTATTAAGCGTCGACAGCTCCCACGTCCTCTCCTCCAGCCGCCTTTTCTCCAGCACCGATTTCCTCAACCAAGACAGCAAAGTCGAGGACCTCAACATTGAGAAGAACGCAAAGGGCTTTATTGCCTAGTCGATGGGGTGGGCCTTGCCAATGTTGTTACAAAGGCGAAAGATGTCGATGGGGCGAGTGAGGCGATGATCACTGTTGAAGATGGTACATCGCTCTATTTCTGTCGTCCGTTCCTCGTCTAACCATTTACAGGCAGCAATGGACCTCGCTTTGCTCCCATCTGAAGACGACGAGGGCAAACCCATCACATGCAACCCCGCTGATACCGATCTTTCCTCAGTCCACCTTCACTCCGTCACGACCCCACACAACCATGGCCGCATCTTTTGGTCACCAGCACCTGGTTTTGCCATGGGCGTTGGGTCGATACGCGAGCGTTTCTTACCGTACGAGGAAGGCGACACATTTATCAGCACAGACGCCGGCGTTACGTGGCAGATGGCCCGACGAGACGCGCACAAGTACGAGTTTGGCGATAAGGGGAACAACCTTGTGGTGATGAATGACGAGGACAGGATGGACAATCTGCGACATTCTCTCGACCTGGGTAAATTATGTTATGTTCGCCTCCCTCGTTTGTCTTATGAAATCCTAACTTTACAACAGAGTGCAATATGAAATTGGCATCAAATTCCAAGCGAGGGCGCTCATGAGCCCCGACCGACTCGACCTTAAAGATGATCACCTTCGAGGTCGAATCGTCCAAGATCCAAGACAAAGAAGTGTGAGTGCGGTTCTCGTAGTGGTGACACGTTTTGTTTCCACTCCAGAGCTAGCTTGCACCAAACTCACACTCTTTCCCTCAGCATGAAGTCGTTCGGGGTTCCTGCCCCCGTTTCCCTTGTCCTCACGGCCCTCTTGGTGTACAACGTGCATGCCATTTCACAAGTCTCTCGCACATGTCGGTAGCGAGGTTTTATTTCAAGGGTGTGCCGTACCAACAACAAGGTAACTTCCTCTTCATCACCCTCTCGCTCGATGCTCACTTCTTATAGGCCTTGTCACTGATACCTCTGCTAATAACCCGTTCAACTAGCCTTCGACTTAAAATGACCCTCTCGCGGATGCACGGATGCGCTCATGATCTTCCATGCCTACAACAACTGGGCGTGTACACCGTTCGTGTGTACAGCGTCGATTCGATCAAGAACTACGATTTGTGCATGAAAGCCTTCAGTGGTGCAGACGTCTATACCATGTACGTTCGTGCCGTCCGTCACACCCTCCCCTAACCTGACAAAGCACGCCAGCATCAGCCTCACACCTTTCTTTGAACGGCTCAATCGACCGCAGTTCGCCTGCGTGGTCTACTAATCTTTTGGATCAATACCTCGCTGCCATCGACGCCTTCAGCAAGTACGACAACATCCTGGCATGCCACGTCGGAAACGAGGTCATCAACAGCTCATCCAACACCAACGTCGCTCCTTTCGTAAAAGCAGCTGCTCGAGGCATCAAGGCATACCTGTAATTCCTTTCTTTCCCGAGACCCACTGGCCAACCATTTCAGCTGCGGTCTTAAACACCAAATTTGGGTCAATGGCGATTGACCTCTTCGGACTCAACAACTAGTAAGTCTTCTGCTCTTCCCCATCCTCCGCTCTCCATTGACACGTCACAGCGAGTGGTGCGGCAATTCCACCTTCGCAGAGTCCTACACCAACAACTTCGCTGGGTACAACTTCGCAGCCTACTTTTCTGAGTATGGCTGTGTCCCTCCCTCCGGTGGGTTAGGGCACGTACGGTCTTGTCTCGGTGTGTGATCCGAGTGAGTCTCATCGCCTTATTTCATCGTCTTTCCCTCAATCCACCCCTCTTTCACAGCCGTCAAACTCTTCTACGTCATGTCCAAATACTGCGAGTCCCAAAATCGTAAAGCACAGGCGTGCAGTTTCGCAGGCAACGGAACCGTCAACTCTCATGCGTCCACCTCCGTCTCCGCCACTGGCGTCGCGTCTTCGTGTATAGCCAGCCTTAGCGCGACGTTTGCACCGACTGCGCCTGCTAGTTCATCTGGAAGTAGCTCGACTGGGACCACATCGAGTGGGGGTGGGACGAAGAAGAACGGTGCGAGCACGTTGGTTGGGGGTGAATTTGTAGGGATGGTGGCGATGGGTGTTGTGGTCGCGGTTAGTGGGATGTGGACGGTGATGTAAGGCGTGATACGGTGGATGCTGTTGATGCTGTTCTTTAAGGAGCGGGTGGAGCTTGAGATGTGTTTGGACTTCCAACTACCTGGAGACATTCCCTCCAGTCGGATAATTCGATCCTCGAACCTTGATTAACTGACGGACATTTGTTTCTCGCCTATATACTGTATATTTCATTGCTTAATGATACCTACTTGTTGTTCACTACATGTCAGACGTTTCAAGCTGACTGAGCTACAAGCTTAAGCTTTTCCAGAACGTAAGTGATAGGGGAGGAGCAGCAGCGAGTAGATATTAAGAGTGGAAGGAGGGTTGCAAAAGAAGAGAGGACTCGGGAAAGCGTCCGTCTGCCGAGATGTAGATCCATCACAAAGGCGACGTCGACATTCGAAACAGCGGCCTGGTTTGCAAAGCAGACGGTTCATGGTAGTAGTACCTAGACTAAGCGTCACCGCTAGTTTGGGTGGATTGCGGTCAAGCACAGAGAGTTGGTGGGTTAATGCATGAAAAAAGGAAAGGCGCCTTGGATCAAATCGTGGGTGGTTTCCCTTTCTCAGGCTGGCGAGATGCCATGTTGGCTGGCAGCCAGATATCATACCGATGGTCAACTGCCTTGGAAGTTTTGGCAGTGACCTGCGCCCTATTTGTTTGACGCATGGTTTCTTGCGGTGGGATCCATCGCTCGTAAGACCTCTGTTGATGCCCAGCCATTCTCAGATGGGGGGAGGGATTTCGTGGGAGGTGAATATGAGGAGGGTGATGAGGGCGGGAGGAGGATC